AACTGGACCAGCGCCGTCTCCACCGCCATGGGAAGTCATACCGCCACCGTCCGACAATGGGCATAGGGAATTTGGCGGGGGTGCAAAGATTATTCGTCAGCCGTGCGTGCCCTTGTCACGTCCTTTTTCTTCCTCGCTGAATTGTATTAGAAACGGCCGTCGTCTGATTCCCAAATCCTCCTATTACTTTGGCCCGCCGCCTGCAGATGCAGCATTTGGAAGCCTGCCTGTAGGACGGATAGGTGTCCACTACCCGCGGGAGGTTATCCGCATCGAGCGAGACTATTCTGGTGGAGAGCTTATCCAATTCGCACCAATATACCCGCTCGAGCTCGAAGGGAGAGTAAGAAATTATTCTTGCTTCGCAGTGAATGTGGTAGCTGATGCGGTAGGCAGATAACGCCGACCCAGTTCCTCGAGTCCATCAATTCTATTAATGAGTGCTTGATTGAAGCTCATAGTATGCGCCGGTCAGCTCTAGAGATTTCACTTGCCATAGCCACTCTGTATCTTTCTCGGTTAGTGGTGACCTCGCATTATGACAAGGTAGCTCGTCTGCGCGCTCCTCGCCTGCGAAGACTAACTGTTGTAGCAAATGGCGCGATTAAAGGAGTTGTTCGGGGAATTGAACGCAGGGCTCTATAACCCTGCAGGTCTCAATCTTCTTTGGCCCAGTGACATTGCGTTTCTTTTCGTGAGTGGGTCTTTGCCGTCGTTCGTCAATTTCGCTAATTTTTATGCCAGATGGAGATCGAGTACTATGTGAGTCTAGGTTCGTCCGTGCAAAATCGGACACCGTGCTAACCTCTACCAGTGACTTCCGAGAGAACCGACTGTATCCCGTCGAGCATTCGCTTGGCTGGACGTTCGTGCTTTCGTTGTTTGCGTTATTCTTATTGCCGTTACCCATCCTCTACTCTTTTTATATCTGCGTCTCTTTCCCCTCTGGATCGTATGGAATGCTTTCCCACGCTTGCCTGACACTCGCCGTGTTCACTCCTTTGATCTACACCTGTGTAAATATGTACCGTTATAATTCAGTGCTGGCTACTTTGTGGCCCCGTAATTGAATGTTGCCGGTGCGATGAGGGCGGACTATCGACCTTGGGCAACCCTTTGTTAACCTGGGGGATTTGCGGATGGACTCACGCTTGCCGGCATGCCGCCGAGATCGAGTGGCGCGAGTCGAGTCATATCTCGTGATGGCCGAGCGCCGAAGCGCCCACGCGTCTCGGCAGGTGTTTACTTTCTGTCCTGAAACGGAAATGAACCAAACAAATGGGCTCGATCGGCATACTCTGCCTTACTCATCACACTTGTCGTCAACGCCCAAGTGTTTCTGAGTGCCGCGCGAGGCCAAAGCCGACGTTGCCTTTCCCGTTGCCCAATCGACGTCCTTTGCTCTTCTTCCACCGTCTGGCCGTCCCGATTTCTTTTCTTTCCTTTCGTTCGAGGACGACCAAGACATCTTCCAGAAACAAGAACCCCGCCGTTATCAGCACCGCCATGGACGCAGCTTTCGCCGATATGACTCCCCTCTGGGATCTCTCCCAAGCCAACACTTTCTCCCAGCTCGCAGATGACGACTTCCTTGCCCTGCTCCAGAAACAGTTCCCCACAGCCGGCACTGAACCCGACTTCAGCACTGGCAGCGTCGATCCCCAGGACATCTCTCGCTACTCGCTCCCAACCGGTGTGAGCCCAGACTCGAACGGTAGCAGCCCGGACAATGGCAACAAGGATGATAGTCAAGACAACGAGCTCAAGCGCAAAGCGAGCGATGATGATCTCGAAGAAGGGGGCAGCTCTAAGCATACGAGTGCGTTTTCCATCAGCGGAATGGGGAATGTTTGATGCGAACAAGCTGCTCAGATAAAAAGAGCAACAATGGACGTCGCAAGTCCGGCGCGGGATCGGTAAGCGACCACTAACACCCCTTTGCTCCATGTGGACCTGACCTGGTGCTCAGGATGAATCCCGCTTGATGAAGCGCAAGGAGCAGAATCGGGCCGCTCAGCGCGCCTTCCGTGAACGCAAGGAGAAGCACGTCAAGGACGTACGTCTATCTCTCGCATCCGCTCATCATCCTGCTGACACATTTCTCCACCCTTAGCTTGAAGATAAAGTGGCGGAACTACAGGCCCAGAATGATGCGGCGAATCGCGAGAACGAAAACATGCGCGATCTCCTGACAAGGTTGCAGTCGGAGAACATGGCACTCAAGCAGCAGCCGTTTACATTCCAAGTGCCTAAGCCCGGACAGTCATCCACAGCCCCGTCTTCCGTCGGATCATCAAGCTCACCGTCAACCGGCTTGCTATCACCACCGTCTACCTCCTTCACGTCCTCGTTCACGTCCAGCCAACCGAAGCCCGCAAACGAGAAGTATACCAATCCCCTCGACATTTCGTCATTACAGTCCTTTGACCCCTCAGTCCTGGACTTGTTGGATGCGCCCGCGGAACCAACAGCGACCAGTCATGCAAGCGACTTGGATCTTGGTTTCAAGCAGGATAGCGGCTTCCCTACAAGCAACTTCACGACTATCGCAAACAACCCACAGTACTACTCCCTTTCCTCATTCTGGGACTCTCTCGGATCGAATGATTCGACGCCTAGCGGTAGTGGTTCTGCACCAAGCAGCAGTGCTTCGACACAGAAGACGCCCGACCCGAACACTTTCAATTTCGACATGTCCAATTTTTCCTGGGGAGGGGATAATAACGGCACGCTCGACGATCTCTTTGGTGCCGGATTCGGCCCCTTCTCGATGGACCACGGGCTCGGCAGTGGCTTGTTAGGATCATCTCCAGCGTCCACGTCTAGCCTGAGCCCTGTTGTGCATATGAATCCGCCACAACATACGGCCTCGCACTCTCCTTCCAGCTCTAGCAGTAGCAGTTCACCGCAGAGTGACCCCAGTTTATTCGGCACCCCTCGCGACGGGAACTCGAGTGCGAGTGATACGGAGGGTGCAGCTGGTGCCGAGAAGACGAAGACGTGCCCGAAGAACAGGAAGGAGTGTCAAGAGCACCACGATGAGCTCGGAATGAGTCCGTTCGTCACACAGGACAGTGGGCCGTTTGGGAGGAAGGATGCACCGACGTCTTGCATGGGTCCTGGGATGAGCACGATGACAGACGGGATGGGCAACCCAATGAGCATGCCGTTTGGACCTGTCGTTGCGTGCCAGGGTAGTTCGAGCTTCCCGAAGACGGCGAAGAGCGATAGCAATGTGGAGGTACTTACTGCTTGGCGCACAATCACGAGCAATCCGCGATTCAAGGTGAGCTTTCTCTCTTTTGGTGTCGGACCCTCTGTCCGTCAGGCTGTCTATCGGATGGGGGGGGATGCGTGTGAGTGCAGAATACTGACGATCACCGAGCAGGATTGCGATATCAACGAGTTGTGTACAGAGTTCTCGAATAAGGCAAAGTGCGATGGGACAAAGGTTGTGCTTGAGCCGAGCGGGGTCAAGTCGATTATGTCGAGCCTTGGCAAGAGGGCGTAAACGTCACCACAGCGGTGTCCAGACAGTTGCGCCTCGGGGAGCGGCGCGTCAAGAAGGAAAGAAGAAGTAAAGCGGGTCGCATAGACCGTAGAGAGGGCGACAGGCGGGTCAAAAAGATGTCGGCGGTCGACGTGCTGTGTCGACGGGAAGATAGTCGGCCTTTTTCGGTGTCGTCGAGCAAAGGATAATCCTCCCCCGGTTTTATGTCTGAATGTGTTTTTTGTGTACTAGTTGATATTTTTTTCTTGCGAATTTGGTTTGTGTCTATAGTACCTCGTTGTGTTTCCATTCGCCTTCACTGTATGTACGTATGAACGAAGTAAACTTGCGTGCACTGCTGATGTGAGGAGGGAATGTGTATTTGGCCATGGGTTTTGACTTGGGTTTGAAGTCATCGTGGTAGCACAGATGGTGTCAAGGACGCTGACATGGATTCGCTGCACTGTGAGGTCTGACATTCGTCTACTGCACGACGATCTTGTCCGTCGCGGAGTTCCGGTGTGATGGCTAGCAGGCTAACATCACATGATGCGGTATATAAGCAGCTAGCATCTTGTGTTCAACACCCATGATTAGACCGCCTCGGTCTGGATATCAAAAATTCAGCGATTCGGATCTCGAGCTCCCAGCCGCGGAACTCGCCGCTACATATTCTTGTCTCTCTCCTTCATATTTCCCATACCATTGCGCTTTTAAGGCCGTGATTGGACCTTGAGCTTGAGCTCGAGGAGCGCAAGAATAATTGTTTCCCGGCTTGTAATCATATCTTTGCTAGTATATCGGTTAGTACACGCGCCTGTCACGCGCGAAAGCTGGGTTCGACTCCCAGGCAGAGAGTCGATGCTGTGTAGGATGTTTTTTTTCTGTTACTTTGCACGGGAACCGGATTCCAGACTACAGGATCAAGAGTTATAAAGCTAACTAGAGCTTAGAGTTACACTCAGTCAAGGGACTGGGAGGCTACGGTACGCTGTTATGATAAGAGTTGAAAGTTGATACTGACGTCCCAGTGGTTGGAAAGATTACTATAAGCGTTGGATGAGACCCAATGTATCTCGAATCGGGTAGGTGTCGCTATAACCATATGTTGAATATATTTGATCAAAGCAGACTGACTGTGTTTGACATCACATACAGATTCATGAACTTGCCTGGATAGCTGACAGGTTGCGACGGGGAACAACATTTTCGAGAGCCGGAATGGACGTATCAGTGCTTATTCCTATAGGCGACGTTGATGCAGTGTGTGTCGGACACGACCAGCTACTTTCCCTTACGTGATCATGATCGTGGACACGTGGTTTCGAGCATTGTTCTGCCCAAAGCGCGCAGGTCGGTGGTTCTGCCATATTACAGTCCGTCTGAGAGCAAAACCTTTTGCTGATGCAAGCCGTGGAATATGATCCAGTGATCGCGGTCACAACGGTGCCGAAGGTTGACGCAACCTTGAGATGACAAGACGTAAACCGCAAGGTGTGTCGACGTGTAAGCAACCGTAGCTCAGCTCGTAGAGCATCAAACATGACAAACGTTTGAGACGCCTGTTCAAATCAGGCCGGTTGTACTGGAACGTATTCATCGTCCTAGGCTTTTGTGGGTTTTTGTTTGTCGAAAGTCGAGGTTCAACATTACTAAGTAACAATAGCATTGTACCATAAAATCGAGAATTTCAGTTTCCAAACACACGACTTATTACAGTGGCTGCCTGACTGGAACGCGAAAACATACATACTACAGAACGCCGCGCACTGTTTTGACTTCGAAGGCATTCTTAGTGCCGTCCTGGTCTGAATGCTGGGGAGACGAGTTTAGGCTTTGTCAAGTTTATCATAAACTTCTTTCGAGGTCAATAAGTGTACTTGCCTATCATGTTCCCACATATGAACGTGCTCAAAGCCCGAGTCACGATTACTTTCTGTACTCCCAGGCGCATGTCATGATCTTCGGCAAAAATCTGGGTTTGAGTTTGAGGGCCTTCACCGTGTCTTTGCTAGTATATCGGTTAGTACACGCGCCTGTCATTCGGTTGACTCCGCGCGAAAGCTGGGTTCGACTCCCAGGCAGAGAGTGGTGTGTTGAATAGTCCTTTTATTCTATCCACGCGCATATGCTTTTTCGCTTGGCAGACACAGGACAAGTCGTACACATTGTGTCATTGTTCAAGCGCGTAGGCTCAACGTATCTACTACTAAGTCCAGCTCAACCATGCAATAGTACTGCTTCATAATGGTCTCGTTCACTCAACCCTTCGCCGCCTAGCCGCTCTCTCCTCCTCTTCCTCTGCGCGCCACTGCCAGCCAGCTGCGCAACCACGTCAGCGACACGCTTGATTCAAAAGAGTGTAAAGCTAGAGTTGGGGAGCTAAAGAAAAGGAAACGAACCACTCCGTTGCTCCGGGACGAGGCCCTCCCATTGGCGTTGCCACTCTATGCCTGGGTTCACACCTACATAGTGCGGCGGTGCTGGAGAACGAGCATCAGTATCGGGCAGAGAATAGCCTGGGAGAGAAAAAAACAAGAAACGTACCTTGCACCGGAGTGGGAGGGGGTGGTGGTGGGTGGGCGTTGCGGTACATGCCACCCATGCTGTTCACGAACAGTGTCATGAAGCAGAGTGTAGAGACTACGAACGCCTACGGAGATCCATTAGCTAGCTATTCAAGGATGGCCGCACAAGAGAAGGGCGTGGCTCCCAAGAGGGAAAGGGAGGAGAGAAATGAAGAACGCACCAATGTTTTCCAAGTTATCTCATCTACGAACGCGTTAACGATCTCAGCACACATCGCTGCGCCAAGTCGCGCGCGTGAGATTTTGGCCGGGTCGCGTGCCATGCAGTTCTTTAGAGAGCATCAGTAAACGTATGCTCAGGATAAAGATTATGAACGTACCTCCCACTCTACACACTGGACCTGCAATCCCGGGAGCGGCGTTGCACACATGTTCAGTCGGTAATTCCTTGAGCAGAGGGCAATGTCCGCGTTGAGGCCTACGAATGGGCATTAGCAAACCGAAGTGACCATGACACTCTGCAACGCTAGGGCAAGAGAAAAGACGCACTGGCAACCTCCGCATCCACTCGATTTTGCACGTCCCCGAACACCGTTTTCACAAGTGTGCCGACGAGGAAGAGACCAAGGCCAACGAGGCCCGCATTCCAAACAAACGACACATACGATAGCAATAGGAGCGGCCTGCTCTCGCTGGACATAGGTGGCACTGAAGCAAGGGTCAGCGTGTGAATAAGTGCGAGGGCGAAAGAGAATACGAGGAAAGTGGGAAACATACCGTTAAGGCCAATGCCACCCGCGGACGGCGGTGGAGACACCGCATCCCTCCCTCCATGAATATTCAGCGTATAATGGTTGGTCACCCCTCCTCTCCGTTCCTTGCGTGTCTTTTGTAGTGCTGCGCCATTCCTCCCAGCATTGTTTCGTCCTGCATCTGATCCAATTCTTCCTTTTTCGCTGCTATGCCTCCGAATGAGCTGGTTCTCCTCGACGCGGGAGTCCTCCTCGATGAAGGAGTCATCTTCGACAAGCGAGTCGCCTTCGCCCTCGTCTTCATCTGCCTGCCGCATGCTCTCATCCGCGTCCTCATCTACGAAGAATGTCAATACCAGAGAAACTGGGAGGGCAGGGAAACGCACCTCTACGCCCTTTGGCGTCTCCAATAACCAAACGCGCTCCTCTCGCCTTCTGTACCCTCTTCACAGCGCCTGTCGCAATTGGCCGCGCAGGCGACGCCTCCTCCATCTCCACGTCTGGTATGGCTGGGGCCGGAGCCGTGTTGAAGGAACTCTATGGTGATTCAAGTCAGCTGGGGTTCCAACAGAGATGAAGTCTAGGTATCACGCCGAGTATGCAATGTAGGATAGCGATTGAGTACATGCTACTCACCTTGGTCGGACTCGCCAACGGCGTCCCTCCTCCTGCACCGAAGCCTAAAGGTCCTCCACCGCCATATCCACCGCTTATTGCTGGCGTCCGAAACAGAAACGGGCTTGCCGGCTGAGTTGGTGTCGCTCCAAACGTCGGGATCGACGGCGCGGCACCTGCGTCGCTGAACGTTCGTTTCTTCTGGGGTGGAGCTGGAAGGAGCATCAGTACAAGTAGAGTAGAGATAGCGGTGGTAGGTGGATATAGATTATGTGGATTTTGGTTATTGAATCTTGGTACTGAACACGGCAATGCGAAGTGGATACAGATTGGCGGTAGTAAGAACAGGGAGTATATACAAATAGCCCAACTGAAAACATGCAACGCACTCGAATCAAGATCCATGGCCCACGCAGCCCGCGGCCGGTCCGTAAAATCAAAATCCATAGGCGCGTCCTTCGAACGCTCTGACTTGAACACGTTGCGCGCGTGTGCGCTCGCCGGGACGTTCATCCTTTTTGCTGCCTAGATTGTTGGCTTTTCCTAGTTGGTGGCTGAGGTCGCCCGGAGGGTCGTGATGGAGAAAACGAAAGACGCGTTGCGGTCACGCGTGTGTCGTGGCCAGACAAATGCGATCGGCACCTCTTGGACCTTGGGCCCAACTTGCGCCAACAATGCTACTACTTTACATAGCGTTTGAGGGACATGCAGAAAAGAGAAAAATGCATGTAGTAATAGAGTCAACGTATGTCTAATTTGATGCGCTGGAAAGCGATAGTCTAGCAGCAGAACGCAAGCTTGATTTCCACTCGATACATAGACAATGCATATGTATGTATGAAGCTAGTGTCAGAGGGTAACGCGAACAAAGGCAGAGTACTGAGCTGAGACCTGAAGTACTGAAGCTGAAATACAGTTGGTAAGGATAGAACGAATTCTTGGTGTCAAATGAGATAGCTTTGTTGGACGTTTACGACAAATTGTGCCCTGGTTTGCGTCTTCATCCTCCCCTACAGGTCATAAATGAAATTGGTGACTAGTTCCAAAGTGCTGGCGACATTTCATCGAATAGTCTATTCTGTCGCTGTATTGCTCTGCTACATCCAACCTCGCTCATGTAGCCCACAAATGGCTTGTGCCCGGAGGGGGGTGTCTGGTTGTGCGTGCAAATGTATTAGAACCAGATACCAAGCGAAGGTGAGTGGTGCTATGTGGATTGGGAGGCCAATATTCCAATGTCCAACAAGGCTGGTTCGAGAACCTATGCAAGGAAGGGTAAGTCTGGGGTAAGTGGTACGTCGCGAACAGGGAACATGTCGCACACCAAGTTGTGCCCGCCGGTTGAATATGTCTAGGTCTTGTCTCGCGCAACAGAAATGATTTCAGACCGCGTCTCGAGGAGTTACAAGAAGGCTGTTGCCAAAATGGTGGTTCGCAATAGAGGTCAGGACATTGTGTTGCTTCTGGACGTCGGTATACGCGTCAACGTCGTCTCGTCCTCGAAAAGTCGCAAGTGCATCCTTGAACTCGACATTCTCGAGACCTTCCTTGTCTTTTCCGCCCGCATTGGCGTTCCCGTTGGATTCAGTAGAGACATCGCTGAGCGCCGGACAAGCTGTGAGTACGACGAGAGACGCGAGTAATTCGGGCTAGTCTACGCCAAAAAGGAGCCAAAGACTGTGTATATGCTGCTGTATGCCATCAAGTAGCGACAGAGGGTGAGAAGAATAGGTTGTCCTCAGCCTTGAATGCACGGTGCCGCGTCTGCGTCGCTGAATGTCGGTTTTTCCGTGATGGGGATCAATACGCGTTGATAGAGGACATGACTAGCCAGAACAGACATCGGCAAGTGGATGCTCGCGATAGACATAGACTCTTGCATGCGCAAGGAATCAACAAGGAATATGGGTCAACTAGATATGGGTATTCGCGTGGAAATGGACATAACGCAACAAGGACAATAGTAAACGCACTCAAAGTAGAATCCTTTCCCCAGCCATAAGTCTTAGTGGCTTCCGTGAACCGTGCAGACTTCAACGGGTCATGGGCCAGGATCAACCTCTGTTCTGCCTTTTCCTAGTCGGTTTCCATCGCGTCCCCAGTCGTGCATTTGTCTATGTCTGTTTTTATTCTGTTAGGGCTCATCGCTCTAGTTGAGGACCATTTGTGTCCGTTGCAGCTGAGCGCAGTGATGGTGTGGTCAAGGAAGTGGAAGACGCGTTGGAAATTCGGACCAGCGTGAACGATCGGGAATTACCTGGCTGCTTTACTGCTCTCACCTACAACCAACGCGACACCTACGACACAATGTCTTTGTTGCGCCTCCTTTCCCGACGGACACCTGCATTCACACGGACCTACTCCGGACACCTGCTATCGAACTGGAGCACTCCCCCAGGGCCAACAGCATCCCTAATCCCAATGGTCATCGAGCAAACAGGCAGAGGCGAACGCAGCTATGATATCTATTCCCGCCTCTTGCGCGAGCGCGTCATTATGTTATACGGTCCGGTGCGTGCTACGCCTCTTCTTTGCGCTCCAGGCTGGCTAATACACGCCGCAGATCCATGACCAGCTCTCGTCTCTCATCGTCGCCCAGCTTCTCTTCCTCGAAGCCGAATCCCCTGCCTCTCCCATTCACCTCTATCTTAACTCTCCCGGTGGTTCTGTCACTGCTGGCCTTGCGATATACGACACCATGCAGTACATCTCTGCGCCTGTCCACACATACTGCCTTGGTCAAGCCGCGTCCATGGGCTCGTTCCTCCTTGCTGCCGGGGAGAAAGGAAAACGACATGCACTACCGAATAGCAGTGTAATGATACACCAACCGTTGGGCGGCGTGCAGGGCCAGGCCGCGGACATTGCCATCCATGCGAGGGAGATTCTGAGAGTTAGGGATACATTGACGAGGATATATGCGAGCCATTGTCGGCGGACAAGCACGAGCGAAACAAACGCTGCGCCAGAGGAGGATGCCGAATTCATTGAAACAGAAGAGGACGCGAAAACACGGTTTGAAGTTGCACTCGAGCGTGACAACTTCATGAACGCGGAGGAGGCGCGCGCATTTGGGATAGTCGACAGGATTCTCGAGCGTAGTCCACGGGGAGCGGAAAATATTGGTAAATAGGAAGGTAATTGCGAGAGATAATTCCTATACGCGCTTCCGTTACCCCTTGCACGGGGTCGAC